AAAAAAACTTATTTGTATCCCGTCTCTTTGTATAACACAACCAGGGCGGCTTACACGATAATACATACAGTCCTGTCTCCCCATAGTCCACCCACCCCTAAAATACAATTAAACAATCATAATTTAAAACATACTTAAAATAATAGATAAACAAAAATGACCAATAAATTAAAATAACTATAACAGCAATCAGGGTCAGGCATAACTTTTTCGGTGGTCAGTTGTCTACTCAGGAAAGGCCTGCTGGAAGAAGTTTGTCTTAACAGCTTTTTTAAAAGCTGTTTAAGGTGGTAATGTGACAGATCTTCTCCGATTTGGGAGATCAGGTTCTTAATCCAAACTGAACAGTGAAAATCATTGGCTACTTTTGACCAGGACTATGGACCATTCAGCCTGATTTACATTACAGGCTTATTGTGAGGATAAAGTCCAAGGATGGTGGAGAGCACTTTGGATTCACAAGAAGAAAGCTGGAATATAGATAAAATAAGAAATTCATGCACAGTTGGCTGGAAAGTTAGAAATGACTTGAAGGCACATAACAACAACAATATGGTTTTGAAATAAAAGAAAAAGTAAAAACTCCCATCTTCTCAAACAGCCCACTGAAACAATGTGTGTTTTGGGCTACAGCTCCCATAAACTAAAGATGACATGACTCATGACCAGAGATTATGGGAGTTGTAGTCCAACAGAACTGGAGGGAACTACTTTAGAGTAGGATACCCTTAGTAAGAATTTTCCTGTACAGAGGATGAGACTATACTGCAACATTTATAGGTCCAATTTATATGCACCAACAAGCAACAATGTACTTTGCACCAAGGCAAGCCTTTAAAGCCAACTTTGAATTTCTGCAAAGAGGAGGGACAAAAAGTATTTGAGGATCTGCTGCTCTTCTGTTTAATATTTAAATATCAGGAATCATTGGAAACACTAGATGCATTTAGGCTTCAATGATTGCTTTTCTGCTTTTATTAATTAAGACCATAGCATATCTTTATTAGGAAAACTATTTTTTAAAATGTTATTTTGAAAAACCAGATCATTTCTATTGGACTGATGTAGAATAAGTCAACTGACTTTAACTTAGAGATCAGTGTTTGGTACTTAGGTGGGATCAGAATGTGACATTCTGATCCTCTGTTCATTCTTTGCTCATTTAACACCTAGCATCTGTTCTCCTCTCTTCTCCATGATTTCTGAACTACTCTGTCACTCCTGCTGCTCCTGTCAAAGAAAAGTCAGTCTGGGACTTCATTAAATGAGCAAATGTGTTCCATAGTATGAGTGAAGTTACAAATAAAACCAGAATCTTGCACATGACTGTGCATATTTGTAATTTCCCAAAGGCTAGAAATTAATGACCAGTAAATGAAGAGAAAAGAAATGCAGGGAACTATTTTGTTCACACAGCATGGAGTCAGCTTGAGGAATTTGCTACTAGACTGAGGCCACCGAGTCAAATGCTGAGCCTGGATTTGAAAAACGGCTGGACAATTTTATGACCATTAATCACTTTGGACCTGGTGTGCAATTAAGATGGAGAATATCAGTTGATCTGCTGTTCCTATAGTTTTTAAGCTAGCTGACAATTAGTATCAGTATTGTCTTTATTTTCATACTTTTTATTTTTTTAGTATTTAATTTTTTTTTATTTTTACATCAAAACAACTTGCTGGGCTTTGACCCTAACAGTAAAGATTAATTGATTGATTGTTTGATATATTAAAACAGCACCACAAGATCACAGAGTAGCATTGCTATGTTGTATGTGGTTAAAATACAGTAAAGTGCAAAGTTTGCTGAAATTATAATAGGCCTTTGATTCTCCATCAAAAAGCCAGCAAGGATAGATCTCTTTCCTGGGAGGGCATTCATTGATTTTAGATTAGAACAGGATACTCAGATGCCACTGCAGTTATTTCATTGTGCTGGTAGTTTTACCATCTTTCTTGGGTTGAACTTTGGGGGGAGAGAGTGCTTTGAGGGTAGGCACATTCCCATTACTATCTATAGACCAGATACTCTCTACTATACTTTATAATTTCTATACTAGTTCAACTACCACAAATAAATAATACTGATAGTAAGCATTTAGCTATAACTACTATAAATATATCTATAGCTATTCCTGTTTGTAGTTGAAAAAATTAATAATACTTTATTATGAATGTATAAAGTATGTGTAAAGTACACCAGCATGGTGTAGTGGACCATGTTGGACTATGACTCTGTAGACCAGGGTTCAATTCCCTGCTCAGCCATGAAATCCACTGAGTGACCTTGGGCAAGTCGCAGGCTCTCAGGGAAGGCAGTGGCAAACCTCTCAACAAATCTTGCCAAGAGAACTCCATGATAGGTTTGCCTTAGGGTCACTATCATTCAGAAATGACTTGAAGGCATGCAACAACAACAACTACAACAAAAATAACAATATGTACGACATGAGAACAGAACTGTCATCAAACATGTATAAAACAAATAAAACATAGGCCATAAGACATTGTCTAAGATATTATCTAATGATTTAGTAACATTCTTCATAGTATCCAAAGTCCTGTTAAGAAGAGAGTTGAACCACTGTTGTTGAATAGGGTTTGGTAGATCATAAACATTTGTGGAGGTAGGATCCAGTAATATAGTGTCTTTCCAGAAGTTCATCTGATCTGGCTGAGGCTGCAGTTAGTGTTAGTATCATCTTTATTTATACGCCATCTTTTCTCTAAAAGTCAAGGCAGTGTGGCATGTTCAGGCATTTATTTATCATTCTGTTAGACCAGCTACCCCAATTTTGGTACTTTCCTGCTTTGGCTACAACTTTCAATGTCCCCAATTATCATGATCAATGAGAGTGATGGAAGTTGTTTTTATATTAATTTATTTTAAAATAACCATCTCATCATATGCTATAAAAACTCCAAACCACACGGTAAAATGAAACAAATATGAAAATGATACTCAAATCCAAATCAACAGTTCTTATCAATCTGGAGAACACTAGGTGGCAAAGGCTAGAACAAAGGCTGGTGAAGAAGCAGGGGGTATTGGTAAAGGTAAAGGTATTCCCCGTTGACAAGATTGTTAAGTTGTGTCGACCGTAGGGGCTGGTGCTCATCTCCATTACTGAGCTGAAGAGCCAGCATTGTCAGAGACTATTCTGTGATCATGTGGCCAGCATGACTGCACAGAAAGCTGTTTACCTTCCCACTGAGAAGTGGTACCAATTTATCTACTTGCATTTGCATGCTTTTGAATTGCTAGGTTGGCAGAAGCTGGGACTAATGACAGGAGCTCACTCCATCACGCAGCACCTGGGCCTCAAACTACCAACCTGCCAATCTTGCAATCAACAAAGTCAGCATCTTAACCACTTGAGCCACTGCATTCCATGGAGCGGGTATTGGGGGTTAGATTATTTACTAATAGATGGAAACAGTCCATTAGCTGAGTTATCTAGGCTTAGCTGGTGTGTAGTCAATAACTTAAAGACGTCCCTCAATGAGGTTTGATAGTTAGTGGTTGTTACAGAAGAAACATCCCACATTCTAATGCCTGGGTGCCTGCTTGCTCTCTTGTTTTTAGGGTGATTATGTGAGAGGAAGTAAGGGACCCAGATTTTGTTAAGGTCCCAGTTTGCAGCTGTGCAAGCACATGTGAACAGATATGGTGCTGGTTATCTCTCTCCCAGAAGTCCTTTACAGATTCCTGGAAAGTGTGGAAGCAGCTGGCCAATTGGGTTGCTGATCAGCATCAGGGTAGGACTTCCAAGATAACCTTACTGACGAAGGCTTCAACTCATATCTGCAGTCCTTCTGAAGCAACACCAGTCCTTCTGAAGCAACAGAATAAGATAAAGTGGAGGAGATAGTAGGCAGGGTTTCGTATGCAGTGGATTGGTGGGACTGTGGTTTGAAATAAGAATGGCAAATCCACTTTGTCGATATCTGCCCTCAAACCCAGGTAATAAAGGTTCTAGTCAGTGGCTTGTGCCCATGTGGAATCTCAGTCCTATGACGACAGAGTTCTCTCTGGCACTTGAGTCAAGAGGGAATTAAAGATTTTGTTAATAATAACATAGTAACTATAGAAAAGTAAAAATATGAACACTGGATATATGTGAAAAACTGAATAATATTTAATATGGGTATCACTTCGCCTTCAGATTCATTAATTTTAATAACTATAGAACTTGAAATAATATTAGTTCTGAATATAGATATATTTATAGCACTTAGGTTCCTGAGGTGGCCTTTCATTCATGAACAGGACATTGATCCAGGCCAGAGCTTGGGGAAGTTACATTTTTGCACTATAGTTCACAGAATCCCCTGAGATGCTGAGTCTTGAAGTCCAAAAACCCCAAAAACAACTTTCGTAAGCTCTGATACAACTTATACTTCCACTGGTAGCTGGGAGGGTGAGACTATGTTGTCCAAGAAGGCCCTTTGACTTTCTAGAGCAGAGGTTAGGGGAAAACAAGCTGAGTTGTCCCCAGTGGAGATGAGAAATCGGTGAAAATCACTTCCCCTGTTGTCTTTTCAATGAGAGCATCCTATCATCAGACTTCCAGTTAAGCAAGCACAGGATTCACTGTAATGAATAAACATTCATACATTGTAGATACGCTGGGTGCACATTTTATGGATAGTACCTTCTTTGCATATGTTCTTTTATGTGCATCCCTATGCACACTGATGAACAGTGATGATGTTCCTAGCTTGTTGGAATGTTTATGAACATCTCCTAACATCTCAAATGTAAATTGAGAGGAGATGTCAAGGGACTAAACCCAAAGTCCTCCAAGTAAACGTTTCAAAAATAATGTTTGTCTCACAATTATTTCCTTCCTCAAATACTGGATTTTTGTTTTAAAGGGGGAATGTTGGGGAAAACTACTATTTTCTCGCAATTTTTTTTCTTTCTGTCTTTCACTTTGCAAAGCAGCAAAGCAGCTTATTTATATACCGCTTCATATCACGCTATGGGATGTCTAAGTGGTTTACAACTGTGAGCTGATTGCCCCCCAACAAGCTGGGTACTCATTTTAGCGACCTCGGAAGGATGCAGGCCTGAGTCGAGCCTCAGCCCTGGCTGGTATTGAACTCGCAACCATGTGGTCTATGAGTGGCTGCAGTACAGGCATTTAACCACTGCGCCACCAGGGCTGTGATACTTCTTCCATCCATTTATTGCCATCTAACTGTTGAAACATTTTGATATCATTGGTTTCAAGGAAATGACTTTGGTCCAGAGTTCTAGCTGATCCATTCTGGAAGGGAGGTCACTTCATTTGTAGCTGTTCAGGTCTCAGAAGGCCAAAGAATCTGAAGTGGCTTTAGTCTGGGATGCCGCAGATGGAAAAAGGAAAAAACAGGACAACCTTGGCCAGCATGAACGGAAATGTCTTCCACTCACAGTATGTTCTTTGGAGCTGCACATAGCTGAGAATTCAACTTGAGTGTCTTCCCTGCCGGAGCCATTTTTAAACTGATTTTTATAACAAATTTTCTTCTCAGCCAGACATGTTAGTAGTTAGATAATCTATGCGTTTAGAGTCTCCAGGGAGCCATTGATCACGTCTCATTAATCAGTCATCATGAAGGACTCTGGGTAACCCCTTTGGGGCAGTCCGTCACAGGAATTGTCAGCATTACAGTCTCGCTGGGCTTGCTTGTAAAGAGAGGTTGTCCACATCACATCTCTCCTCTGGATTTGCCAGAAGCTGTGTCTGACCTTTGAAGACTTTGAAATGTGATTCATTTTGTGTTCTAGAATGTCCATTCCTCTGGGCAGTGATTAAAATGCCTTTGATGTGGGTCACTGTGGAATGGGGAGGGCTATGTGATGTCATCAGTCCCCCCCTTTTTTCCTTGAATGAACTAGCTCAGTTCTGCCAATGTCAATACAAAGCTATGATGTGCAGTGTTTGACACGGGTGTGCTGCTTCATTTTAACTTTATGGGAGTAACTGATTATGATGTGTTGGCTCTTTTGACTGGTGCCACTCATTTTGGCATTTAGTGCCTACTGGGCACCTGAAACAGAGCTCTACAATAGGGTTTTGTTTTTGTTGTTATTAACAGCCCTCAAGTCAATCCTGACTCATGGCAACCCTGTGGATGAGGTATTTTCTACTGCTCTACTTAGATCCTGTAAATTTATACCCATGACTTCCTTAATAGAGTCCATCCATCTAACATGTGGTCTTCCTCTTTTTCTACATCCTTCCACCTTTCATAGCATTATTGTCTTTTCCAATGAGTCATTCTTTCTTATGACATGACTGAAGTATGGCAGCCTCAACTTTATCATCTTGGCTTCCAGGGAGATTTCAGGCTTCATCTGTTCTAGGACCTATTTGTCTTCTTGGCTATCCACGGTATCCTCGTCACTCTTCTCCAGCACCACATCTCAAATGAATGGATTTTCCTTCTATCCACCTTCCTCACTCTCCAACTCTCACAACTCTACATGGTAATAGGGAAAGAAATGGCCTGTACAATTCTAACTTTCATGTTTAGTTGGATATCTTTACAGTTTAGGATCTTTTCTACTTCTTTCATAGCTGCCCTTCCTATTCCTAGTCTTCTTATTTCTTGACTGCAGTCCCCATTCTGATCAATGATTGACCCAAGATACTGGAACTCTATTACTATTTCAATATCCTCATTGTTTAGGTTAAATCTGTGTAGATCCTCTGTGGTCATTATTTTTGTTTACTTTATGTTGAGCCTGCCTTTGCACTTTCTTATTTGATCTTTCTTGGTAGTTGTTCAGATCTCTGATATTTTCTGCTAGTAGTATGGTGTTGTCTGCATATCTTCTTCATCCTATTTTACTCCTCCTTCTTCTGTGTCTAAGCCTGCTCTTTGTATATAAGGTTATAAAGAGTCACATGCTTTCAGCATCAAGGGAAGGCAGTGGCAAACCTCCTCTGAACAAATTTTGCCAAGAAAACTTAATGATACCATTGCCTTAGGGCTGCCATAAGTTGGAAATGTCTTGAAGACACATAACAACAAAAATGACAACTTATACCTAGTTGAACCTCCTAGGAATGTGCCTGTGTCTTCAGTGGGGTGCTCTGGAAAGGAGGTTTCCTCCCGCTTCCCCTTCCTCAACTGATGAATGTTGTTCTGGGATATCTGACTCAACACCTCCCCAAATATTCAGTAGAAATTGGGGGCAGAATTTTTACTGGGAGGACAAAAGACTTCAGCATCCATGGATTTTGGTATCTACAAGGGGTTGTTCCAATTACCTG